GAGTCCCCCCGGGGCCGCCCCCTCGGCCCGGCCCGGCCCGGCCCCGCAGCGCCTCCGCGGGCCCCGACGGGGCGGACGGGGTTTGGGGGGGGGGGGGGGCTCCCCGGCAGGCCTCCCGCCGGTGTTTCGCTTTGTTTCTCCTCGTTTTCTTTTTACGAACCTCCTTCCCGCCGCCAGCCCGAGCGGGCAAGTGTCTTGTCCCCCCTCCCGCCCCCCCGCCGCCCCCCGACGGGGCGGTTCTGGCTCCGCCGGCCCTCGGCTGGGTTTGGGTCTCTCCGCTGCCGGCCCCCGGCCCCCTCGGCGGACGGCTTGTATTTATTATTAATTATTAATTATTCTTAATTATTCTTATTCCACGGTCCACGCAGTTTTTAGGCACCTCCGTTAGGGTTTTCTAATTTTATTTGAAGAGGCACAAACTCTAGCTATTAGTTGAATGTCGGCAGGTATGCTTTCTCTTTTTCTGTGTCTTTCTACGACTGTGTTCTGTGACTCAGCTGTATAGTGTTAATATCAGTACAGACTTGTCTAGTTGACCGTATAAATAATGTTTTCCCTTCTCGTAGTCTCTATGGCGTGTCTTTATGGAGAAATAAGGTTCTCACGGGTTCCGTTCCCTTTGCGTTTAGAGAGACCAGGTTCAGGCAATGATATATATTTTTGTTATCAGTTGCATGTCGTCTCATTCTTTTTTTTTTTTTTTTTAATTTTTCCCTTTTTTATTTTTACTTTTTTCCCTACCTGTTGGAATATGTTTGTGAGCATAATCGTCATAAATTATGTTCAGGATTTTCAGATTTATTTATAATGTGGTTAAGATGAATGCTTCTATTTAAAAGGGGAAATATTTCTACATGTGCATATAGTTTTCCAAGAGTGTACCATTAATTGATTGTTGATAATAAAAACCAAAAGCAAATATAGCTCACCCCAGCTCTTCCCGCTTATTGTCAGGGGGTTGTTTGGGAGGTGCTGGGGCGGGGGGGGGGGGGGCATGTTTTTATTTCGGCAGAGACTGAAGGTGAAAGTCGCAGGCTCGGGACGGGGTCATCTAAAGGAGGGGGGGGTCTGCAGGGATATTTGTCACCAGCCTTCACGTCGGAGAGGCCACGGCCCTGTGTTGGTTGGGGAGGAAGGTGCACGGGGTCGGAGCTTTTGTAGCAACCCCGACGGTCAGAAAGGGCCGGAATTAAGCTCAACCCGTTACGATAAAAACGGGGAATGCAGCACGGGTCTGCTTTGTCCGCGGGTGGACCACTCATGGAGTAACGGGGTTGAATTTTGCTTTAAACGCCCGCAGCTTTTTGGGGACGGGGCCTGGCGGGCGGCGGGGGCAGCGCCAGCCCCGACGGCGCGGCCGGGCCGGGGCCCCCCGAGGGGCTCGGGGCAGCCCTGGTGCCACCCCCCTGCCGCCCAGGGCCACTGTGGGGTGACGGCGGGGCCGATGAACTCTGTCTGACTCTGGCAGAGTCGACGGGGGCGGAAAAATAAAAGGCTGGCTTTGGGGGGCTGGCTGTGGAGCAAAACGGCAGCAGCGTTCCCTGCAGTGCTGGAGTGTCCAGAGGGGGGTCTGCAGCCAAGGGCACAGAGAAAAGAGCCAGCAAAGCCAGGCAAGTGCTGGTTCGCTAAAGAAAATCCTTCAATAAGCAGTTTTAAAATGTTGCAATAAACCATATGGTCAGTTTTCCAGAGGGAAAAACAAATAGGCACCCTGTATGCAATTACTGAATGCAAGTTGTGTTATCGCGTGGCTCGCTTTTACCAGTCCACCTGTTCTCCCAAACACCTGAGAAATATTTAAGAACATCTCTGCTCAAGGCAAGCTGTCTTCAGGAATGAGCTGTCTCCAGCCAGCAGCACAGCAGCAGTGGCGGTCAGTGGCAAGCTCCCCCTGCCCGATTCACCTGCGGGGCACGGCCAAGCTGACCCTTGTGCTTTTAGGGACAGCAAGACCCACTCCTCTGGCACCCCAGCCAGCCAAGGGGCATCCAAAGATACTACAGCTGTTTGGGCCTTGTGGTGCAAAGCTTCCACGTTACAGCATGCACTGTGATTGATAAAGGGAGGAGATGACAACACACTGCTACGTGTCTGGGTGTTTTCTTCCCATCAGTTCATTACTTTGTCTGATAAGACCTGGGGTTTGCTTCTAATATGAGGGCTTCAGATTCCCAGCATTGGATCTAGCTATGTGTCTGCTAGGTTGGAGACCCTTCTCTCTCCTAATTTCACTACAAAGTACACTGATTTGCATTCTAATCTATCTTCCTCTGGATAAATTAAGTAGGCTGTGGCCTTAAAACCTCCCATACTCCTCAGGGCTCAAACTTTTAAAATCTTTTCCAGAACTGAAGCCTGTTGGTGACGACACTTTGCAGAAAGGACATCCGGACAGCCCCAAATGCTGCAGGGTCTCTCTCAGCAATGGGTCATACAGCACTAAGATCACCTCTCTATTACTGACCATGATTCCCCATTCATGTATCTGAACTTCTCCTTGGTCCTTTTGGCATGCTGCAACCTTCTGTCCAGCCACGTATTCCCTCCAACCCTAAATCCTTTCCCTTCTGACCCTAAATACTTTTCCCTCTGACCATAAATCCTTTCCCCTCTGACCATCAATCCTTTCCCCAGTCACTTCTTTCCCTGTTCTGGTCACCCCCCAGCAGTGCAGGGGACCGCAGGATGCCCCAGACCGTACAGGATGGACCTGTCGCAAGAACCAGCATGCCAATAAATTCATAAACCTTAGCAATTATTCAGTCAGGTAGAAATGGATGGTTTGAAAACTCATGAAGCTTGTTGCTCCAGCCTGTTTGAAAAGGAGTATTAACTAACTCAGTAATCTGCAGCGTTGCTGCTGACCTTCCCAAGCACGGAGTCTAGGAGGGCCACGGGGCACCCAGAGGGGGCCCAGGCCAGAAGAAGACACCAAATGGCTGCTGACCAGCGGTGCCAGTGAGAGTCAAAGCTGGTCCCTGACACTGACAGACAGTGCTCGCAAGGCAAGGAGCTCCGGGCAGGAGGACCTGGCAAGCCCAGGGATGCTTCAGTGAAGAAATGAGGGTAAGGTGTATCGCTGGCATTTTGACTCATGTTATTAAAATAAAGAGTAATTTCTTTTAGAATTCAACATCAATCTGACATGAATGCATGGTGTTTCTTGAGGAGTTCAAAGGTAAATTCACATTGCTAGTATTACAAACTTCAACACAGCTGTGTTTGTAGCAACTGCGCCGTTTTCTTGTCTGCTCTTTTCAATGCCGTGACTGGAATTCGGGCCTAATGCTGAATTTGGCTCTGGGGCAGCTCCTGCACTCTCTCTCTTTCTTCTCTCCCGTACACAAACAAAAACTTGTTTACAATATGAATCTCTGAGATGGATGTGTATTTACATGACAATGCAAAAATGAATTTTATTAGTCAGGAATACATAGCTAGCATGTAGGAAAACTACAAGTAATATAAAATCTTTTTCACCGAGAAATGAATGTGTCTAAATGGTTTAATCTTTACATATCATCACCTTCTTAATAAAGCTATCAAACTATTATCAACTTTTTGATTTCAAAGAGTCAAACATTACTCTATGGACCACCCTCACCATCTGTAAGGCAGAGCAGCAATACGGAGGCCATACTGCAATGGGATCTGAAGCCTGCTGCTTCTGTCATTGGTTTTATTTGGTCCTTCACATGTTGGCACCTGAGAGCTGTTGGGGAACGAACCGATGGCTCCATCTGGAGTGCTACTAAAATGTGTCTCCATCTTTGAAAACCAGCTTTGCTCTTTGTGCTTTGCACAAGAGCTCATGAGGTAGGCCAAGGCCGGGCCATTTGAGAGGAAGCCCATCTTCTTGCCACATGGGGGGCTCATCCAGAAACAGCTCAAGAAATTTTGGTGTGAAATAAAGCTCCCTTTTTCTAGGCGGGACATTTCATGTGGAAGGAGGAAATCAGCTTTTGGGCTAATCCTTCTCATGATGATCACATCAGCAGGAAATTAAAGTTTCTGAACATGGACAGGAATGTCATTTCACACGGTTGTGCAGTTCCAGGCAATGCTTCGTCCTAATCCTTTGTAGAGTAGAGGCAGAAGGGAAATGCAGACACTTCTTGCTGTTTCAAGTGGCTCAGAGGAAGAAGCTCAAATGTAGAAAGTCTATCAAATCTATCAATAGTCTATCAATAACATTAGATAAAAATTCAGGGTAGCCCTGGGACGTGTGAGACTAGCTATGCCTTTCCAGAAGTCTGAAATCTAACATCATCACTAAGGCCTCTGACACTGGGCATAAGCTGTGGACAGGGCCTTTGTCAGCCTTAACTTCCATATCATTTAACAGAAAGATGTTTACAGAAAACAAATCAACACATTAATTTTCTCTAAGGAGAAAATCTACCCAGGGAGCAAAGCCCAAATGTTATGAGGTGAATACTCAGCACCTTGAGAGCCACTGCACTGGGGAAGCTTTAATTCTCACTGCAGTTTACTAAGGCAGTGTTAATGTATGGTTACACGTACGTGCTCTACAGACTGTCATGAGGTGCAGGTTGGTCTTACCTGCCCACTCTGGTGGGATTCACAGAAAGGTGGCAAGGACGATCAAGGGCGCATGTCATTCTAGATAGGAGGAAAAGTTACTTGTGTTAGCAAGGGAGTGTGCTGTAGTGTACAAGATTACATTTATGTGAATGCCAAAATACTGACCAGACTGGACATGCTAGGTTAGGGATTCTTGGTTTTTACCTGTTTAATCTCACCTTTCAGTGAATGTTTCACTCTGCCAACATCAGTGCTGAAGATACCCATGGCCAGCTTGTAGCCAGCTACCTAGTGGTAGTTAGATCAATGTTGAGTCAGATTTATCTTTAAAAGTGTATCTTTATTCACTGACATATTTACACAAATAAAACCACATGTAGCCTGCCTCTTTGTTCTGGGTATACCAGTGCAGCTCTGAGTGACAGAGTTCCCAAGGACCAGCTGGTAACATTGATGCTAACAGGGAAAGTAAACTCCTGTCCTTCCTTCATGACTCTTTCTTCCTACAGAGATGGCTTTTATCAGTGTTGTACAATTGAGAATAAGATATGTTCTTCCAAGCACCATTACTTGCTTATATCACAGCGGTAAAAATCTAAAAGGATAACACACAACAGTGCCATCATTTGATTCCTGCCTTACTATGGAGCAAGTTTAGCATTGGTTAAAGGAGGTACCTCATCACCTAGATAATCAGACTGAGACCCACAGCCATGAGATTTTGCTAAAGTAAAATTTTTAGCTAAATTCTAAAAAACACTGAACTACTAAATAAGAGTATCCAGCCGGTACAGTCTGGTTTAATAAAAACTTCTGAAAATGATATAAAACCACCCATTTGTGGGTTTAAGCCAATCTCTGATTCCTAAAGATGAGACCTTTAACAAAGACTCCTCCTGAAAGATTTCTTGTGTGTTCTTCTAAACCATCCACTGTTGCTCAGTTCCAGAAATAAGTTCACAAACTGCAGATCACAAATTTTAGGCTTTGTTCCTATATTCTATCAGCAAATGGGACCATGACCTCCCAAATTTGCTTCGTTTACCTCTCTTCTTTGTCTTTCTGGGTGGACAATAGTCCTGGCTACCTTCACGCCCTTTGAAGTGCTTTCAGCCCTGGACTAAGTGCATTGCACAGCTGAAGTCAAGTACTCGTGTCTGCAAAACTGATTCATTTTTCCTGTTATTACTGATTACTTCCATTGATCAATACTTTCACTGGTGCATACCACTAATACATTTAAATGTCAATGTGGGAATTAATTATCCCAATTTATTTTCTTCCAAGGATCATGAAATCCAACTTTTTCTGAGACTTTGGGATATAAACATAAATTTATGACCAGATTTGTCTCTAAAATTGTCCAGAATCTTT